CTTACCTTTGCCCACAGAGCTATTAGTTAAGTTCTCCCCAAACGAGCTTGATGGGCCGAATGGCCTCCTCTCGTTTGTAAATTTCTTATGTTCTTATTATTTTTTTAGTCCAAACTTGGTACCTATTTGGAATAATAGATATACAGTATTACCCACAGAAATAAGACCACGAACCATGAACGTTGGGTTGAGTAGAACATCTGGTCAGCTTTGCATCTATTGCACGTCACAGGAAATGTTCTGTTTTTTGAAAACTTTTGTTTAAAATATGTTACAGTTTATTAAAAAAAAGAATTTGATATTGTTCTAAATGCTATTCCAGGTGCACATTTAATGTTGGTCAGGAACCTTTTTAACAATTCTCTCCTTAGCCTCCCTCCTCCTCTCCAGTACAATGGTATTATTTTTAAGGAGGGTAAATTCCCAAATAAAATGGTTATTAATATTATAATTTATTAATAAATTATTATTGTCTTACTTATGAACTATTTCCTGGCCTTTCCAATAAAAATGCAAATTAACCATTATATACATTTGCACTAAATATATTTATTATCCAATCCCCCCCAAAGTCAAAGAGTTACACTTTAAAGTATTCAATGCTATATATCCCAGTAATTAATTCCTTCATGTTAAATGTAACATTGATAATAATACTTGCACCTTTTGTAATAACGATATAGAAACTTTGGACCACTTGTTCTTCTCTTGTTGCTTCTCCCAGATATTTTGGGTTGACTTGCAAGTTTTACAAAATTTCATTTTTTGACTTCCTTTACTTGTAATAATATTATCTTTGGTGTTGTCCTAAATGATGATACGCTTGATCTTTTACTTAATAATATTATATTGTTGGGAAAATCTTTATTCATAAAACAAGATTCTTTAAAACTTCTCCAAACTTTTTCATCTTCAAAAAAGAACTTTCTCAGTTCTTCACGGCTTTGAAGTTCATGGGGAAAAAACTGCAGTGAAACTTTTGCAAAGGGTAAAAGATCTAGGTTTTTTCTTCACTTTATGTTATTTTATTTTTTTTTTGTTAAAAAATGCTTCCAAGCTGTATGTATGTTGCATGTTTATCATCATTTGTCTTTCCTTTCTTCTCCCCTTTTATATGCTGATGGTTTTGTGATACTACAACTTATATATTGTTGCATTGCTGTTTGTACATTTCTAGATTCAAATAAAGTTAAAAGAAAAAAAAATAATAAAAAGTGGCCGGTGTTACCCTAACCCCAAATCGATAGTACGTCACGATAGGTAGTTAAACTCATCAGAACACCGGCGTTCTAGGAGCTAGAAAGCATTGCGTCAAAACTGTCACATACGTCATTGCTCCTTCCTTTATATACTCTGTCTCTCTGGACGCGGACGGAATAATTCTTTATTTCTTCTTATTTGATTTCGTTGACCAGAGGATATTTGCAATGACTATCGAGACTGATACATATTTGCCTACGAGCAAAACGCCAAAAATGGATGATCCGGACTACAGTGAGTATACCCGTCTGAAGACATAGCTATTAAATGGCATAGGCAGAAACCCACGGGATACCCCACCATCTAGCTAGGTACAGACATATTGTCCGAGCGCCTTATTTCGCTATGTCGGAAACGTGTGTGACTAAGCGACGCTCCTCAAAGCACAATGACAGCGGGACTAAAGATAACCATGCGCCTAGACACACCCATTTTCGGCTCAACACAATTTGTGGAGCACCGAGCTATTAGAGTCTTTAGACTGTGGACCTTTTAACTGTATGTTATTGTTTTCTGTTTCGACTGTCCCGTTGACATGCTTACTACTTAGTATACAAGTACCGCATTGACGGTGAAATTGTTGTACTAATTAGACAATTGTTGCCTGTACTACGAAGCGGGGTTACTGGCTTATCGGGGTAACTTGTCGGATTTAAGGTAGTCTGGGCAAAAATGTAAGTGAACGCATAAGTCCATTTAAAC